CCCTGGCCTGTTTCCCCACCAGCAGGATTCCTCCACCTTGGACCCCACTCCCAGCCTGGAGACCGTGCTCGGGGAGGCGTTGGGCAGTGGGCGACCACCTGGAGAGGAGACTCTTCAGACAGCGTTGAGGGAGCTGGGGGGATGGGCGGGCTGTGGGGACCCTGGTTGCTGAGCTCCAGGCGGAAGAGGAGGCTGGAGGACACGTGGGTGGTCCTCTGTGTTCCTTGGTGCCGTGCAGTGTCAGCCCTTGGAGCCTCAGGCCAGGCGTCCAGCCCGGGGTGGACCTCAGGGGGACACTGGGCAGTGGGTCTAGGCCAGGGGTCGGCAAACTGCGGCTCGCGAACACATGCGGCTCTTTGGGTACATTCCCTCTCAAAAGTTTACCGAGCCCTGGAAAAGCCAGTGCTGTCCCTCACAGCAATTTAAAAATTATTCGAGAGCCATAAATATATTTTTACATAATCATCCTGTGAATAATATACTTTAAAAATTTTATAAATGAAACTATGATAGTTTTATTTTCATTTTCAATTTTACTTCAGAGTCATAGGTATGTACCCAAAGAGCCGCATGTGGCTCGCGAGCGGCAGTTTGCTGACCTGTGGCGGCTCTTCTGTCTCAAAAGTTTGCCGACCCCTGGTCTAGGAAGAGTCGGGTGGAGTTTTGGGGAGAGCTGGCCTCGTCCCGGCACAGCCACACCTGCTGTGGGGGCCGTGCCCTCTCTGGGCTTGTTTGTCCCTTCAGAGAGTGCGATCTGCATGGTCTGGGAGGCCAGTGTGGGGGCCAGGAGGAAGAGGACGCCCCACCCTGACGTCTCCTCCTCCAGAGACTGGGGCCCCTGGGGTCTTCCAGAGCCAGAGGGTGCCAGTGGAAGGTGTGCCAGCTCTGCTTCCTGGGCACTGATGCCGAAGGTGGGGTCAGGAGGGGAGGATGTCCGGAGGAGGCAGGGGCCTGCGGAGGCCCCTCTGGCACTCCCACCTCGAGCAGGCCGCTCTGGGACACGGGGAGGGGGCACTGCGGGCGTCAGAAATGGAAGCGGCCAGGGAGCCCTCCAGGGTAGGAAGAGGGCCTTCCCCGCGGGCAGGATGGCCCCACGGGCCCCACCAAATGGCGGAGGCTTCACCCTCGGGGCTTCGAGGCTGGAGGCCTGGCTATTCTTTGGAGGTGGGTTTGCCGGTTTGGCATCATAGGCTGGGCCCTCGGGTTCGGGGCTCGGCCGCCCTCTGGCCTGTCTGGGCCCGGACCCTGTGTCCTGATCAAACGGGCCTGGCTGCTGGGGACAGGGATCAAGTGGCCCAACCTGGCACTGAGTGATGCCATCTGTGTGTGGTCACCTGTGGGCAACGGCCAGTTCCAAGGGCTTGATGCTGGCATTTGGGCTGCGGTCTGAGCGGAGGATGGAGGCCTAAGACAGGAGGCGTCTGTCCCCCCCTTAGTCTGGGGCCTAGAATCCTGGGGGTCAGCCAGCCTGAGGAGGAGCAGGCCTAGCTGGGGATGACCCCACGGCATGAGCAGCCGTGGCCCCTCTGAGCAGCCCCTCCTGCTGGCCCCAGAAGCTGTAGAGGGCCAGGCGTGGCTGGAAGCAAGGGGCATCATGAGAGGCCCGGCGTAGCTTGAGGGGCAGGGGTGAAAGGATGGGCGGTGAGGGGCTCTTGGTGGCCCGTGCTGTGACAGGACGCAGCTGGCCCAGAGCCGTGCAGCCAGGCCCACGCCACCGGCTGACCTCACAGTGCTCGGCGGCCTCGCCTCGGCTTGCGGCATGGCGCTATTATTGCCTAATTAGGTTCTACGGTGCCAGCCCAGCCCAAGCCCCACACCCGGGCTGCGCTCGGCAGGCGTGTCCGGACAGGGCTCCTGGGCTTCCACTGGAGCAGGAAGCACAGTGCCGCCCAGGAACCCGGCGGTAGCTGGCTGGGACGGTGGCCGGAGCACCGGCCTTTCGGGCACGGAGGCCAAGGGACCACGTACAGCAGTCCAGCCGTCTTGGGGGAGCCTGGGCTGGGAGACCCCACAGCTGTGGGTGAGCCTGGAGTGGGGCAGCCAGCAAGGGGGGGCCCGGGAACGGCTGTGGCAGGCCAAGCCAGGCTCGCGCGGGCGAGGCCTCTGCGGGAGGACGGACAGGCCGTGGGGCCGGGAGCCCTGGCCTGGGGCTGCCTGGCGTCCACTCCCTACGCTCTTCTGCGCGCAGGACCCCAGGGGACCCCTGGCCAGCCCATTCTAGGCCTGCTGCTGACCATGGAGGGGCTGGGCCAGGTGGAGGCCTGGGGCTAACACAGGCCTGGGTGAGGGAGGGACCGACCGCCAAGGGGCCCTCTTTCCTGGGCGACTGGAGGGAGCCTGAGAGGCGTGGGCCTGAGGAGGGACGTGAGTTCGGGCTGCTCTGAGGGGCCCCTGGGAGGGGGCGGGCGCCCAGGAGCAGGTGGTGGGTGAAGGGAGAGAAGGCGGCAGCCAGGGTGTCAAGCGGGAGAGGAGCCTGAGCAGAGGCCGGGCGGGACTGAACCCCTGGGGGGACCGTGAGGAGGCCAGGCAGAGCCTGGGCCCAGTTGGGGGTGTGATGAGAATTGGCGGCTTGGAGCCCAGCCAAGTGACCAAGGGGCAGACAGTGGCCTGGGAGGCCACAGTGACCTCAATTCACTGTACAAGCTGAGTGGGCCTGAGACGCGGGACCTGGGAGTCCTGTGGCCCGTGCGGCCCTCGTGTGGCAGGGGCTGGCCTGTGCCTCCAGCGGCATCACCGCAGAAGGGGCCAGCTGGTTTCTAAAAGAGGAAACCAAACGTCCCAGCGCAGAGAAACAACCCACACTTCGGCGAAGAAGCCATCGATACGGACGGGCCTCACCCACCAGCCCCCGCCGCCCTGCTCTCTCTAGGTGTCATGAGTGGCAGACTCCGCCCCAGTGGGGGACGCCGGGGGCCCTGGGAGCAGAAGGACCTCAGAGCAGCCCCTTCCTGCCTCCTGCTCACAGCCCACCTCAGCTGGTAATCGAGGCCAGGACCACCGCCCACCTGCTGCCCCCACCGCCATGCGAGCCCTCGCCCCCTCTGTGATGGCTTCCCTGCCTGAGGACCCCGGACCCGATCTGGGGAGCAGACGGCCTTTCCTGAGGATCAACATTCTGCCTGTGGGTGAGTGAGGCCTCCGGGCAGACGGCGATGGGGTTGTGGGTTCAGCCCCCAGAGAGCGTGCTGACCTCCAGGACAGGTGGGCTGCCGTGGCCGGGGAGCTGAGAACGTACTTGCGCCTCTCACCAGTAGGCGAGGAAGCAGGACAAACAGGCGCGTTGGGAGGACAGCTTTGGGACTGCCAGCTCCCCTCCAGCTCCGTCAAGCTCGGTCAGACCTCCGGGACCCTGGGGCCGACTCGGGGGTCCTCAGCAGGTCTTGCTGCTGTTGGCTGTGCATCCTAGGGCAGTGCTCGGCGTCTCTGGGCCTGGTCCTCTGTGTGCCGTTTCTCTGCGTCCGGTAGCCTCTGGAAGTGGGTTATGCTGGTTTAGGTGCACGTTCTCACTTCTCCCTGTCTGAAAAGGTGGGACTATAAGATGTACAGTGTAAAGCACACGGCCTCAAGTGTGCAGCTGAGTAAGGTCATGCAAAGTGAGCTAACTGTGCAATCGCCACCCAGATCAGGAAGTGGGACATTCGTGCTGCATCCCCCCCCCGTGCCCCCCCACTCCCCCCCACTCTGCCCTCGGGACTGCCCTCATCCTGTCCCAGGGATCACCGCTATTCCAACTTCTACCACCATATGCATTCATTTGCTGCATTTCGACTTCCAACATTTGGAGTCACACAGGTGTACAGATGTACAGGTGAGCCTGGCTGGGTGTGAGAGCCCCTTGCCCGAGGGAAGGGTGGGTGCCCGGGCAGACTGGCCCCTCCTGTGGAGGCCACTGCAGCCTCTTTCCTGCCTTGTATGTAATTTGCTTCGCGTCCAGCCAGGTAGACTGCCTGCTTAGAGGAATTACATACCACTTGGGTACGAGCCCCCGGCTGGGCTGTCCAGGAAACGGGGCTGTTCCCTTCTGGCCCAGAACAGTTGGCTTTCTGTCCTGAGTGTCCAGCGTGGTGGACTGAGCTGAGGCCGACTGATGTGTGTGCTGTGGGCCTGCCAGCCTCGGACTCAGGAGCCCCACCTCCAGGATAAGGGGGGAGCTCAGCCCCCGGGAGAGGGGATGGGCAGCGGTACCCGGGGCTGGTGGGGCATCTTGGGAGGGATTTCTTCCCCGACAGGTGGTTGGGCTTGGTACCTGGGCACCATCGGACGGGCAGGGTTCTCCAGATTGGAGTCAGGTCCTGGGTTCTAGCCTGGGAGCCTGCTGGAGCCCAGCTGATGTGGGAACCCAGGGTGCAGGCTTCCGGCTTGCTGGGCCCTCTGCCGGCTTGCTGCTTCCTGGGCCTGTAGGGAGGCTGTGCAGACAGGGGCTCCTTCTGGCTTCTCCTTGGCTGACACAGCAGCTCATGGGACCCTGACTCAGCTCTCCTGGGAGGTGGGGGAGGAGATCAAATGGGAGGGTAATTGTGCTCACGACGGTGTGCGCGTGCATGCCTGAGGCCAGGCAGCTCGGGCTCGGCGGGTGTGATGACAGGTCTGCATCTCAGAGGGTGTGTGCACGCATGTGCGTGTGAGTACCTGCTCTTCCGGGGGCAGCCTGCTGCTCGCTTGGCAGCTGCTCCCCAGGTCAGTGCTGGTAAAAGTGAGCATTTGCACGTGTGCACGTGTGTGTGGCATGAATCTGCATGCACGCCTGTGAGAATCTGTGCATGGGCATGCGTGTGGCGTGTGCTGTGTGTGTGTGTGTGTGTGTGTGTGTGTGTGTGTGTGTGTGTTCACACTCCCTGCACCCCTGCACCCCGCACAGCCGGCCCAGGCTTGTTCCTCCCACGTTCCCCAGATGTGCCCGGGCAGGTCTCCTCCGCCTAAGGGGAGATGTCTGCTCAGAGGCACGCAGCCCCCTGCTCAGGCTCGGGGGCCTGATTTTCCGCTCAGTCAGGACGGCACCAGGGAAAGAGCAGGGGAGCTGCTGGCCCAGAGTCCCTGAGGCCCTGAGACCAGGCAGGCCCTTGGGGGGAGCCTGAGTCGGGTGCCAGGGACCTGCGGGTGCACAAGAGTGTGGGCTCCCCCGTCAGGCTGCCGTGCCCCCCTCTGCCCGCTCCCCACGCTCCATGTCTCCCTTCATGCCCGGCTGCCTGCTGCTGCTGCCCAGTCATGTCCTGTGCTGCGTGCTGGACGAGGGCAGGGGCGGGAGCACCCTGTCTCGCCCTGGAGGTCCTTCCGGAAGGCCCAGAGGCAGCCCTGCTGAGCGATGGAGGTTTCCCAGCCCAGAGTGCAGGGGAGGCCCTCTGGCTGAGGGACGGGCCCAAAGCCCACGAAGCAGGTCAGCGTGTCCTGGAGGCGGCCCGGGGTCTGTCTGTCTCCCTGATGGTCAGGAAGCTCCTCCGCCTTTGGGCTGAAGTACGTCTGGGCTCCTGCAGCCGCAGCGCCTTCCCTGGCTGGTGCCAGCTCTGCCCCCGAGTGGCAGACCCAAGTGGGAGTGGGAGAGTGGGGTGCAGGAGGTGTGGGCGTGGGGTCTGTTCTGGGGCCCTCACCTCTTGAGCTGCAGGAACCCGGTCAGGGGCCTCAGATGAGGCCCCATGACATTACCTGGTGCCCACTCTGTGCCACCACCACCGACTGGGACTTGCAGCCACTGTGTCCACAGTGAGGCATGGCCCCATTTTCCCGGTGAGGCAGTGAGCGTGGCCTCGTGGCCCCGTGGCACTTTGGGTCCCACCTCGGCCTCTGCCCCTTGCCCCCCCTCCCCAGCCAGGAGGGAAACCAGCTGCTGACTGGGGCCCCAGCAGTATGTGGACAGCATCAAGGGAGGTTCCAGGGCCCACCAACAGCCCCCACCCCACCCCACAGTGCGGCTTGCTTACCCCGCTTCTCGTATCCGTGGTAACGAATGAATGGGGTACCATTTAGAGCTGCCTAATCCACTTTCACAGGCTCAAGGATGGGGGAGAATGCAAATGAGCTGCTCCCAGATGTTTGGGGATGAGGGTGACGTGGGAGGAGCTCGAGGGAGGGGCTTGAGGGCTGGGTCTGGGGCCCCACCAAGCGCTGGGTGGCCTGGCGGAGAGTTGGGCTGTGGCACCTGCCCTCCAGTGTCCAGAGCCCTGAGGTCCAGGGGCCCTGCTGGCTGTGGTGAGGGCCTGAGCTGCCCAGGCCTGGCCCCTCCCTTGTCCTGACAGCACCTCCACCGGACTCTGCCAGCACTGGCATTGCGGTGCTCCTGGGGTCATGGATGCCAGGCTGGAAGGGTCAGGGTGGGCCATACAGGTCTGGGATGGACAGACACGGAGGGTGCACCCTACCAGAAGGGAGGACCTGGTTCCTCAGGGGTGCGTGGGAGCAGTGGTTCCCCACCGGATGCCCCAGGTCCCAGCCTGCCCCTGTGGGGTGCCCGCCGTCTTGGGAGCTGTCCTGATGAGGGTGGCAGTCCCCACAGGTCAGGTGGGGAAAGGGCGGTGGCAGGCAGCTCCCTTCTCTTTTGGGGCTCTGAGCAGTGGGCCTCCTTTGTCCTCCCAGTGCCCAGATGGGGCTGAGGTAGGAGGCCTCGGGGGTACATGCCCAGCCGCAGCACGGGGCCCATGGCTGGCCCAGTGAACTCACCGGGGGGAGGCTGGTTTGGGGCCCGCCACGGCCCTATCCATGCTGCTGATACTAAGGGGGTCCGCTTCTCACCGTGCCCCGCCCTGCCTGTTTTGAGGTGCTGTAGGGCAGCAAGAGACGCTCAGAGACACTCAGCCACTAGCTCAGGCTCACACAGCAGGGCTTCTGAGGTGCTGGGGCAGTGGAGGCCCAGCCCAGGGAGGACGTGAGGGGCCAGGATGTAGCTGGGCAGGCGAGTGTGGGCCACCATGCCGCACCCGAGACGGTGAGGCCTCTGCGGTGGATGGCCTGTGTACCTGGAGCTGCTGTTCCCAGAGCAGGGCAGCCACCGGCCTGGGGCTCTCGGCCTGAGTGTCGGCAAGTCCTCCCTGTTGCCTCTCTGGGTGGACTGGACCAGCAGCTGGGACACCACTTGGCTGGGGGCTATTGACGCACAGATGGACGTGGAGCTGAGGCACCGGCCGGCTCAGATGTCCTGGCTGGTGTCCTACTGTCCCTGCGAGTGCCCGGGAGAACGGGGCTCTGGCCCTCAGGGTCCAGGCTGGAGTGCCGTGTCCTTACTGAGCCGGGGCTGGAGGGGCCGCGTGGCTGCAGCCTCTGGAACGTGAGGCTGGGAGTCGGGGCTGGGGTCGCGGCAAGGGTGTGTCCACAGGGCTGGACGTGTGGACCTGGGGGCTTGCCCACATCCAAGTGCGTTCAGATCTCTCCCCCACTTCCCCTGGGATTTCTGTGTCGGGCTGGCTTCTGTTTCTTTTTTCCTGACTATAAAAGAAAGAGCAGCAGCTCAGAGGAGGTTTTTGTGGGAAGGCAAAGTGGGAAGAAGATGTGACATCGCCACCACCCTCCTCGGAGCCTGTGTGCTGGGTCTAGGGTCTAGCCATGCCCCAGGTGGCCCAGCTCCCACCTTACCGCTGTCCTGCTTGCCCCATGAGCCCTGCCCTGGGGCCTGGACGTGCTCAGGTTCCTCTATGCACTGCCTGTCCTTCTGGAGCCTGGGTTTTATCGGCGGCCTCACACTCCGGGGAAGCCACACTCCGGGGAAGCGGCAAGGAAGCGGCAAGGCAGTCATTCGTGTGGGGAAACATCTAAGCTTTTGTTACAGGCTGTGCTGCAGGGTGGGGGTGGGGGTGAGGGGCTGCCCAGCGTCTGGGTATCGCCTCCCTCCAGTGGTTTCCTTGGAGGGCTTCGCAGCGTGTCTGCTGTGCTCCAAGCTCTTTGAAGCTGGCGCCCTCGGCCCTCCGCCCTCCGCTTACTAGCAGAGAGCAGAGCGGTGGGCAGCAGGTGGGCGGGGGGCTGGAGCCCTTGAGGAAGGCTCGGCGCCACCTTTCCAGAACCAGTCGACCTGGTGCAGGGTCAGAGCCCTTTCCGGAGGAGGCAGGACACATGGATTGCCTTCAGGGCGACCTGGGGTAAGCGCCTGGCTTCCTGGACACTGCGGCTTTTCATCCCATGGGCACCGCCGGGCCGGGCTGGA